GTCCTTGGGCGGGCGGGCGGGCGCGCGCGCTCGCGGTCCCTCTCCGTGGCGTTTGGAAGGCACCTTCTAGCATCCTCGCCTAGGAGTTACTTTTAACAGCGGGCATCCCTTTGAATTCTGAGCTGTCAAAATAGCGGGTCCCTGGGGAGCGCTTGACCGGGCCCTCGTCTCGGGTGCCCCGGGACCGTGTCACATCCCCTCGGGATGAATCTAGGGCGCGCGCGCCACCCGGAGCTGTCTTTGGAGAGGCTCTGGAGGGACCTCCGATAGCATCCTCGCCTAGGAGTTACTTTTAACAGCGGGCATCCCTTTGAATTCTGAGCTGTCAAAATAGCGGGTCCCTGGGGAGCGCTTGACCGGGCCCTCGTCTCGGGTGCCCCGGGACCGTGTCACATCCCCTCGGGATGAATCTAGGGCGCGCGCGCCACCCGGAGCTGTCTTTGGAGAGGCTCTGGAGGGACCTCCGAGGGACCAGGAGGCCCCCGGCGGGGCTCCCGGCGGGCAGGAAGAACGGGAAGGCCTCGGACCCAACGCTCTCCTGGCCACCCCTGGTTTTTCAGGGTGCCGCTTTTAACCTGTAAAGCCCTAAAGGTCTTGGGTCCAGGTTAGCTGAGGGACTCGGTCGCTCTGACTCGCTGGGTTTTAATACCTCTAGGGGGAAGCCCTCCCTCGGCCCAGGCTTGGCGGGACAGGGGCGCAGGGCGTTGGGTGTCGCTGCTCCCAGGCTGTCCGGAGGGCACCAGCGTCACCTTCCCTTCCCGGCCTTGATGTGAATATGCAAACTGCTGTCGAAGAAAGGGGGAGCTTTTTGTTATATATATTTCTGAATTGTTTTTAGTATGTTTGTTTTTTTAGTAGTGTGATTTACTGTATGATATTGGCAACTGCTCTAATACTTGTGATTTAAAACCGTTTGTAAGCCTCCGTGAGTCCCTCTACAGTGAGAGAGCCAGCGAGACATTAAATGAGCGAACACGTCAGTAGGCATTTTGTGTGTGACAAAGGCTTAGCCAGGAAAAGCCCCGCAGTCTTCCCAGCGTGGCTCCCGCGGCCAGCCCACCGGCTCTCTGAGCAACCTCGCTCCCAGGTGCCCTCCCCACTTTTTCGTGGTGGGTCAGGCTCCCACCTGAGGCCCGACCTCCTTCCCCTGCTTCCTTCCTCCCCCCCCCCCCCCAGCCTGCCCACGGCCACTCTTCGTTAGGAAATCGTTCTGCCGGCACTTCAAAGTCCCCGCCAGGCACCAAGAAACCCCCCTCCAACGCCGAAGCGCACGCTCCCCATAGTCTTGGACTACAACTCCCAGGAAGCCTAGGAACCCCTGGACTACCCTGAGGGCTCTGACAAGGCCAGCAGGATGGCTATGGCCGCACCGGGTTATTTCCAGAGCTGCCAGGAGTCGCCTTGCTGGGCTGCAGCCTGGCCGCCCCCCCTCCAGGGTCCCCCGCAGGATTGCGACGGGATGCCTGGAAAGGGACCCCCCCCGTCCCCAGCCCCGCGGACTCCTACCCCCGGTCGCCCTCCCCGCTGCCCTGCCGGCTCGGATGCCAGCGATGCCAGGCGCTCCCGCCTCCTGGCACTGCAGGGGAGCCCCTGGCAGAGACGCCGCTTCTCCCAGCGCCTCGGGCGAGCCCTTCGAGGACGCCAAGGTCCCTCCGGAGCCTGAGGGGACGCCCCAGGGAAGAGACCTTGCCGACGCCAACAATCGGAGCCGCGCCGGGGTTTGGAACGGGGCGGGAAGCTCTCCTGTAGCGGCGAGACGCGAGCCCACGACGGGGCAAGAAGCACAGCCCGAGCCGGACCACCTTTTTGCAGAGGCCTCTCTTTTATTCGCCCCCCCCCGCGCGCTCCTCCGGCGGACGAGCCCCGGGACTCTCAGCTGGGTCCCCCTACCCCGGAGGAAGCCTCTCCCGGGGGGATCTGCCGGCCGCGCAGCTGCTTCATCACCTCCGACAGCATCTGGTTGCAGAGGGCGGAGTAAGGGTTCATCCGGACCAGCTGCTGGCGGGCGAAGGGGCTGCCCAGGCGGGCCGCTTGTTCGAAGTCCCTCCGGGCCTCCTCCTCCCGACCTCTCAGCCGCTGGATCAGGCCGCGCTGCACGAACCCTTGGCGGGCCACCGGGCCGCTCTCCTGGCTCAGCCTCAGCACCGTCTCCAAGTCTTCCAGAGCACCTCGTGGGAGAGAGAAGACGTGAGGGCGGCCCGGCCGTCTCCCGGCCCTCTTGGCGGGGCCAAAATCC